ATTTGTTAGAGAATTGTACAAGTATTGGAGTGTCCAAATGGAGACTATCTTCATTTCTCAAGATCTTTGGGATATCATCTAAGAGGGTTACGAAGATCCAGAAGAAGAGAACGACTCCAAGAAACAAGCAGACAAATGAGTACAAGTAGAATGCCAAGCAAAATGGCAGTGCCCTGAAAATTATTAAGCAAGTTGTGACCAAATCAACTTACTCAAGAAGAATTTATGGCATTAAAAAGTCCAAAGAATCTTGGGATGTCTTGCGCGAAATTTCAAGAATTCGAGAAGACATCTCTAGCAGCTAGCAGTTGTGCGATGTAAGGATAAGAAACTCATTACTATTAAGATCCCAAGGTTAGTAGAACTTGCCTGTCAGCTTGCGACTGTGACAAGTCTTATGATGCTAGTGGATGAGTGGTACATGAAGGGGGTGGATTGATGATGGTTGCTTCTTGTTTGCTATATGAGGCAATTGAAGACCATTTTTCCTGGTTGAGTAATTGGCTCTTCGAGATGCGATTAGATGGTGTTTCACGATGGGATTGCAATATGTGATTTTGGAGGTAACGCGAAGGTGGTCCTCGACAAGGTTGCTAGTGGGCTTGTGATAGATGCATATGGTGGGGCAATTCTTGAGGAAATTCAAATGAGAAGTTTGCGCTTTAATAACTTTTCTGTCAGACTTGTTGATCTTCTCTGTAACAGAGTGACTCATTTCGTGATCAGAAAAGGCCCTTTTCTAGTTTGGTAGGGTTCGACTCTTTTACATCTTTCTTTCTCATAGTAATACAAGATGTATACTGGAAGAAACACACTCAAGCTCTATCCATATCAAGGATGTACTACTTTACTCGATGCTTCTTGAAAATTTCAATTATGACATTAACATAGATATGGCTTTAGCTAGGTATGGGCGTATGGTCCATGGACAAATGACTAATGGGATGGGAAGGATACGGCCATATGAGGACAAGAAAGTTTGGTCTACAATTTGGCAAGTGTTGACAATTGGGTGGGAGATCGTGGTGCATTGTTTGGCTCTTTTTTATTCATTCATTCTCTTTTGTCTTGTTGGTATCAAGCTTGATGAATGATGAGGTTTTTGTGGTAGCTGCGTGAGGGAGGGACAGTGGCCATTAGTTAGGAAGAATGTGGTCACTACAAAAAATAGAAGGTATGGGGACTAGTGTTGGGGACAACTAATATATGTTGTCTTTGGAAATAAAATTTTAAGTGGGACCAAGTGTATAAACTGTCCCCTTAAAATATGGAATGAAAATTCATTAATTTTTTGATTTTGGTAAGTTGTCCCCAAAAATAAACGTCGGGGAAAAAATATAAAACTTGGTTGAAATTGGGTGGAAATATTTTTTTTGGCGGATTCTTCTGTCCCCAAATCAAGTTTCGGTAATTTATCTTTTTGTTAGCTAAACTTTCTCCATTCTTTTCTCAAAACTTAGTTTTTCCGTGTCCACCTTAAAGATTTTGACTTGGCTTTTTGTTTCTCAAAACTTTCTCTATCCTGCTCAAAAAATTAAAGAAAATAAATTTTGGATCCGCCAATCGCCATACATCTTAATTTACTCATATATGTTATTGCGGTATGTGTATTTATATTCCTTAGTTATCATCTTCAATCCGAGACTCCTTTTTCATTCTTCTCTTCCCCTTAGGGTTTTTTTGCCGCCGTTGCATACATATTCATTCTACGATCTCTCAATTCAGGATTGCACAGAGATGCATTAGCAACATTGGCCATTGGGTGCGCTGCTTCTGGCCGATTGCTTTGTGGGGTACAACCAGCTTCCGACGAAGGGGAAGTGGCTGAGCGATTGTACAAAGTCGGTGGCATTCAAGGGAGACAACATCTTTGTAACTCGAGGGTACTAATGAGTATTCCATGTGGAATGCATACTCCTTTGACGATAAGGATACAATGTTTCAGGCAGTGAAAGTGCACTCAGGAGGGTGAGACGTAGGTGAGTGTTCCTTTTCTCTTTGGTTTTCTTTTGTTTTTATTTTATGAACTAATTATTTCCTGATTGAGATGAATGATTTTCTTTGTTTTGCTGCCATTACAGATGCAATCAAGTCCAAATCAAGAATCCTTGAAGGCATTTTCGGATTGATGGAATTGTTATTTTATTTCATGGTCTAGTAGTAATTTTCTTTATTTAATAGTTAGCAGTAACTCATTTTCACTATTGATATTTTATTTTTTAGTTTTATCTTCAAATGAATGTTGGCTCATTGTTGATGTACTTTAATTGCAATTCTCGATATATATATATATTAAGTTCTTTTCTCCAAAACTAATGTTATTTGTGATAAAACAAAATAGTATAATAAAAAAACTCGTTAGATGACAACTCTTTCTCCCAAGACAAAAATTAAGGACAATTGTTCATCCCTAAAGATATATTGACTTTAATTAGACACTCATGGCAATGACATGTCGACCCTGTACAGAAAAAATGGGACATCAAATCATCCCCAAAAAGCCACAACGATCAAGAAATGGATTACACGAGACAAAATTTTGTCTCTAGAAATAATGTTTAGGGGACAATTTATTGTCGCTGAAGTCAAACCTATAGGGACGACATGTTGTCTTTCATGGAAAGGAAACAAGACAACAACTCACATGTATCGGGGACGACTGTCGTCCCTAGTAAAGGGGACGACCTAATTTTTATCGTCCCCAAAAAAATAGAGGACAAGAGTATAGGGAACCACACGTTGGGGACAACTTAGTCGTCCCCTAAACTTATGGGGACGATTTTTCCTATTTCCGGGGACAACTCTTATCGTCCCCAAACCTCTTCTTTGGGATTCAGTTTTTCTTTCTTTTGTTAAGGTTTGTTAGAATGTATCGGAAAATCGACAATGTAAGAAAGTAAAAAAAAATACATTTTTATATGGTTCACTAATGTAATGTGTGTTAGTTAGGCCATGGATAGCAAAGAATCAGTTTCAATATATTTCATTATATTTGAGGGAGATACATATTACAACAATTGAAAATGTATAAATAGTACATATTCTAGATAACGAGATCTCGTGACTTTCAATCGAGGACAAATAATTTGTCTTCCAATAATAGGTATTATAAAACTGAGGTCTTTTCCATGTGATCCATCCTTCCAATCGGTCATCAATGAACAACAACCCTTTTCAATCTCTTAGGGATCGTGGTGGTCCAACCAATCTTTTCCATGTGCTACTACTCCATCCAATCGGTCCATGCACGAACAACAAACCATTTTCAAGCTCTTACCTCTTCATTTTCGTTTACTGTTTACTGTTTTCATGTTATAAATTTGGCAACCGAAATGAGAAAACTTGTTTACTTTTCATTCTATTTTCTACTCGTTTCCAACTATGAAAACAGAAAATCACAACTTCCTATTGTTTTCGAAAACGACGAAATGTTGTTTTCACCTGTTTTCAATATCTGTTTTCTCAAAAATAGGAAACAAAAATGAAAGTAAACAGAAAGAACTGAGGCAGCTAGCATCTCTCTATTTTCGATCATCCCAATCAAGTTTACAAAACAAAAGGTTCAGATTATGTTAATATTGCGGCTGTGGCCAAGCATGTTGTAGGAGACTGGATTAGGTCACTAAGCTAGTTACGATAGCGGTCCGGTTCATTGCTTGAACGGTTGTTGATGGACCAAACTGTTTCTCACGGTTCAAAATAAAATCAGCTGAACGCCTGAACCACTACGGTTTAACTGGTCCACTGGTTCACTATTTTAAACAAAAAAAAACATACTTTAACTTAAACTAATATCATCAAACCATAAATATTAATTTTATATATGCTTCACCTTCTCATTTTCCAACCTTGTTGTCGACTCTACGTTCTCCACTATCCACTCGCGCTATAATTTGTCACGAGATTTTAGGGGTTGTTTGCTTGATGGATTTGGTGAAGGATTTGAACAAACGACCCCTTAATTTCCTTTTAAAGAAAGAATAAAATGGCAAGACCTTTTTCCCCCTCTATGCACTTCTTTGGAACAATAATGAATGTTAGTTATCTTACTTTGTAATGATTGTTACGTACAAGTTATGACAGATTTGTCTACCATTCTGCTGTGACAAAATTGAATTATCCTAATAAATACTATATCATAATATCAAGTTTTCGTGACAAAATACGTGTGGAAAATATCTAGATTTCATGACAAAGTAATTTATCACATATTCACATCAGACTGGACCTTGATATGACAGACACATGAAGCTGTTAAAAACAGTTTGTTGTGAGTGACTAACTTTCTTTTTCGGTAATCGTTGTTGCCTCTATTGTTAAGCTCAAGCTTGACCAACTGCAAGCTTCTCTATAAAAACAACTGCAGAGCAGTTAAGTTTGCTGCAAAGCAACCTACAGTGAACACTGAAATCGTATACAGGCTCCTACCTAAAAATAGAACAGCTTATACTAAATACCATTTCCTTATCAATGGGAACTGAGAGTACATTGGGTAGCTAGCCCTCTTCGCCTTTTTGACAAATGTGGCCCAGTGCTTTACCCTGTCCTGGATCCGCCGCTGCACATACCAACTCCACAACACTCCAACCAGCCTGTTATCCTGATGGAATAATCTGCAAATCTCCAGAACAATTTCCTCCAACTGCATAGGCCATGTAATATCCGATAGCAGATCAAGTGAAATTGGACGAGCATATGGATAATCACAGAAAAAATGGCTTCGCGTCTCTGCCACAGTCTCTGACAAAGCAAACACAGATCAGAATCGATTAACCCCCCAAATCTTTCAATTGAGCTCTGGTCTTAATGGAGCCCATGTCAAGACAGGTAGTTGGTCACAATAATTATCCGGCCCATAACACTTCAGCCCATCACCCAAACACTTTAGCCCATCTGCTGGACAACTTTCTCGGAATTTGGGCGCCAATCTTTTATGCTTTGATGCTTATTGCTTAGCTACCCTAGAAGATCAAAAGATTCAAAACCGGCAGATTTTGTTTCTCTTTTGTAATGATGGAAACATTGGGAAGGAATAAGAATTTTTGGCGAACCCATACTCCATTGTCAATTTATTTGTCACATAATGTGATTCACATTCGTACATTTGCTTGGTGAAATTATCGAGTTGATTTAACAACACTTATCGTATCATTTTACAACACTATTAGATTTTGGAATCCCAAAATCGAGATCGTTATTACACAATATTATCTTACTCGGTATCGAAAGCATTGTCTCATAACTCAAGCTGCTGCAGGTAGGTGCCACCTGCGTTATGCTTGTAGAAATCCCCAACCGCGACTTCTCGATATTTTGAAGGGTTCTTTTCCGTTATCAGTTCCGCTATAGGTCCATACACTTTCGAACCCGACGACGCTTCATTACGGAAGAACGCACCGACGGATACTCTAGGTCCGACGCTCTTTACCACCGCCCTGTGCACCACGCTCGGAAACCTCCCGTTGGATATCAGCTGCAAGTTTTTTAACCCACAAGGCCACAACGAGCTGAAATTCCGACCAGATATCGTATCCAACCAAATGCATGATGAGTTTCGAATCAGACATGAACGCGTGTACGCTAACCTGAAACATATCCCCGATGTTGACAACGAGACCTTCCGGCACAGGAGGCACATCAACCCAACAGTCCCGGCGAAGAACCTGAAGCCCTCCGACGGCATCCTGCAAGAGAATCGTGATGAAACCCAGATCGGCATGGTGATGGATTCCCATTGTGAGCTCCGGCTGAGGACAAGCCGGATAGTAATGGCACAGGGTCGCCATTCCGTCGGCGCAGCCCATTTCCTTCAAGCGATTTGTCCCCAGACCCAGCGCCTCCGACAACAATTGGAAAAGCAAATCCCCCAATTTCACCATCTCCCCTGAGTACTCCGTCACGATTCCCCTGCAGCAGGCCGGCATTTGCTCTGTTTCCGGCGGGTCCGGAACCATATGATAGAGGATGGAATCTCTCCAGGTCGCCGCCGGCGAAGTGTACAGATCGTAGCTGCTGGAGTAGACGACTTTCCCGGTCAGGTCGTTGCCGTAGAATTCCTTCTTCACTTCCACTTCCTGATCGAAAAACCGGTGAACTCCGGCCTTCATCTCATTCAGGGTGCTTACAGGGACTCCATGGTTGACGATTTGGAAGAAACCCCAATTTGCTGCGGCGTCTTTAATCTTTTCGACGACGTGTTTGCGCCTTTCTGGGTTTGTCGTACCTTCAAGGTCGATTACCGGGAGGATGAAATTGGGATCCTCCGGTGAAGCTAAGGGTCTGCAATTGAGGGAATCCGGCGGGGTATGGAAGATCCGGGGAAGCTCTTTGATTCCGGCGTCCACTAGCCCTTTCACTCCGGCTTTTGTGTCGTCGAACGCCTTCAGCTCCGCTAGCCGATCGTAACCTGGATTGGTAGTTGCGGCAGAAGCCATTGTTATTTGTTTTCTTGTTTTGGGTTGTCGTATTTCTTCTGATCTCTTTTTGCCGAACCTGGAAATCAATTATTTGTGCCAGCGATTGGGTTGAGATAATGAGATTTGAGAATCCATACCATTGGACCGACACATATTATTTTAAGTGGGATTTATGTAAAATTAAAATAATTGTTAAGATATGCTTGATAAGATGCTTTCTTTAAAGTTCGATATAAAAAGGAAAAAAAAACTAACATTTTCCTTTGGATGACAAAATAGACAAAATAAAATCTGATTATTTTGTATTTTCGGTTCAATACTACTTCCACATTTTTTTAGAAGAAGAATTGTCATGTATATAACAAGAATTTAAAAATAATTCATATAAGAAGATGGTGACAAATCTCCACATTAATAAATGCCTCTTCGCCGAACTCCCTCTTTCCCTTCACAACCTTTTCATATATGAAACTAATAGATGGTTTCACATCACCACCAACCAAACGAAGAACTCTTACCAATAGCTAAATTACCATCAAGCAAAGGTTCACACTTTAATTTCCAACGGTTGTAATTCAACATCATTGTTGTTGCTTCCTTATCATTCTTTGTGTGCTCATCTTTCAAGATATCATCACACTTTCTATCCACCACCATCTTTTTTAGTGCATCCTTCTTGTTCATTAAGCTTTGTAAAGTGAAACTCTCGTCATTTTTTTAATTGACGTAGCTGCTATCATTTAAGTTTCGTTAATTATTAAGAGTATTTTGACAAAAATAATGCCTGATCACACAGGATGGATGGATCGTCACCCTAGATTGTACAATGTTCACATTTGGTACAAATGTCTGGATTTAACTGAAAGGACTCACCAAACCGACCCGATTTAACGTTGTTTTTCCTGATAATTTTACTAAAAACACCATGTACTCTCCCATCTCTCAAGTTAAAAATCCTACTCCACGATCAGAGCTTGAAATAATCCAACCTCGAGTTTCCATCAAGACCTTTCTCGTAGGACACGGCGGTGAACTCCTTACACGTCGTCTCTCTGTACTTCGGCGGGTTCTCCTCCGATACCAACTCTTTTATAGGTCCATACAGTCGTTGATGCTTCAACGCCGTGCCGAAAAAGAAAGCCGCCACTGACACTCTGGTCTCAGAGCCGTTTATCAACACTCTGTGCTCCACGCTTTTGAACTTGTCATTAGACATCAACTGCACAAATTACGAAAGCCAACGATCATCCCATCAATCTCCACACACACAAAAAATCTAGTTAGAGCAAAGAAGTGAATAATGGTGGTTTAAGAAAAACTTGCCTGGAGCATATCTCCGATGTTGACCACCAGACCCTCCGGCAACGGCGGCACGTCGACCCATAGGTTCCGACGGAGGACCTGGAGACCTCCGACGTGGTCCTGTAGCACCACGGTGATGAAGTCGAAATCAATTGCGAGCTCAGGTTGGGGAAAAGGTGGAAAGTAATGTCCAGCAACAATTAATCCTTTGCCACAATCCATCTCTGTTAGATGATTGGAGCCCAAACCCAGAGCTTCTGAGAGCAACTGAAAGAGGAGATGGCCTAGCTTCATCACTTCCTCTGAATACTCACCCATAATTCCCCTGTAGTAGGCAGACAATCACATATATTTGCTATTTGATGCTTATTGGGTGAAAAGCAAAGGGGATTTTGAGTTAAAAAGGCAGATCACTGTAAAACTTATTGGGTGAAAAAGTACTTTGGTTGTTATTTGGATTCAATTTGTTTTTTTTTTCGATTTTATTTGTATCGGGTTGTTTTCCTCGGTAATACAAGTGATTTATTAATAAAAAGGGAAAAAATAGGGTTGTTAGCCTGTTGATTTGATTTTGTTATAAACCCTAATCGTTTAATCCATTACTGGTGAATCGTTAAGTAAATTTTTGTTTATCCTTAACCATACTGTTTATATTAGTTTATTAATCATAATTATATAATTGGTTATCGGTATTATGTCAGTTAATCGACTTGCTGTTTAGCAAGTATTTCGCCAAGATTAGAGCAAAATGATCGATAAGTAACCGACCAACAGAAGGCAACCCTCTTTTTTTTAATTGTGTATATTTGTAGATTTTTTCCCCTACATGTGTATCATGTATGAGTTCTTTATTTATATATTTTTATTATTAATTTAAGTTTGACTTGTTTCAGTTGGAACGGAGAGAAGAAAGTGGGAAGAGGAATGAGAAGTGTAGCGGCTGCGACCCATGGTCCATGAAGATAATACCCTACCGTACCGGCGGTTCAACCACAAAATACCAGTATCGAAGGCTAAATCGGTAGGCAGTATTTAATGGTACTAATGGTTGAATTACGGTTAAATCACGGTTTTGTCATAAAATACCCTACCGCTGACTTTCCCGGTACGATCTCCGGTATGATTTCATGGACCATGCTACGACCTGGGTGAGTGAAGTCATCGATGGAAAAAAAAATGGGACATAATCTTTGCTATCTTTCCTCTATAATAACTCATTTGATCTTTTCCATTCAATTTTAGTGCCTACATTTCAATACCAAAACTAATTGGTGTTCTTTGTCTCTTTCAATTTTAGGGTTCACACTAAAAGGAAATCGGAGAAAGAAAAAGATGGTCGGGGTTGGACCGGGCGGGAGGAAATTGCTTGTTGAAAGTTCAAAAGTTTTTTGGGAGGAACATGACCACTTTAAAGGAGAGAAACAATTCGTACTTATATCAAATTAGTTAATGATAACACCAGAAGTCATTTTAGCCTACCAATAACTGCACTAATAACTCATAATCAGTTATCGATATAATCGTTAACCATCTAGTACTAGTTAGTTTATTAGTGTGACCACTAACCAAAAATCACCACTTTACTTTCAAATCCTTGCATTTTGATTGGTGAGCAAAGCTCTGACCTTTACTCTGTTTCTTGGTGGGGTATGTAAAAAAACAGAGGACTTTACTAATAGCGTCAAGAGTTCACACCTGTAGCATTCCGGCAACTCGCTCTCCTCCGGTGGCTCCGGCGCCGCCTGATAAATGGTGGAATCCCTCCAATTCGTCACCGGCGCGCCGCTGAAGAGGTCAAAATTACTATTATAGACGAACTTCTTCTCCGATCCCCGTCCGAAGAATCGCTTCCTCTGCTCCACCTCCAGCTCGTGAAACCTGTGGACTCCGGCCTTCATCTCCTCCACCACGCCAGTCGGGATCCCGTGGTTGACCACTTCGAAAAACCCCCAATTCGCCGACGCGTCTCTGACCTGCTCGACGATCTGGTTTCGCTTCTCGGGATCCGTAGCCGCGCCGTGGAGGTCGATGATCGGGAAGATGAAGTCCGGGTCGCCGGCGGCGGGAGCGGACTGCCTGTCGTCGACGAGGTGGGGCGGGGTGCGGAAGATTCGAGGGAGCTCCGTGACTCCGGCGTCGACGAGGCCTTTGACGCCGGCTTTCGTCTCGTCGAATGCTATGAGCTCGGCGAGGCGATCGTAGGTTGGTTCTTCGGCCGCCATGGATTTTTTGGTGTGGTGGTTGATTTTGTGAAAGCTAAAGGGGATGAACTTTATACCGATATAGTGTGTTGGTCCGGCGGCTAGGAAATTAGTGGCAACTGGGCAAGTTGTGCATTTTAATCTTTTCGTGAGATTAATGGTAAGCGTGCTTAGATCCCTAATCGTCGGGGTTGCAATTTTGGTTAATCTTAATTATCCTGTTGGGGCTGCTGATCCGTCCTAGGAGAAATATAAGGAAGCAAGTTGCATATGCTACACTCAGGTCTTTGCACAAGAAATTTCATATGTGATCGGATTATGTCTTAAATCCATGTTTGTTGATTAAAATGAGGTTGACCTAGGAGTCTATAGATGTGAAATTATATTTTGGCTCAAAATTTGTAGACCCCACGAATAATAAAATCCCAACTTATGAGCTAGGATTTTGAGAGAAGCCAAAATCCACGAACCCCACTAATGATGAATAACCAAAGTATCTTTAACTAAAAAATAAAAATACTTTATTGATGATATGAATAAAGATATGATGGTAAATTCATCATTTAACTCATAAATCCATTATACTATAATCTATTTTGAAATCCAACAAGCAAACATACAATTTCTAAAATACAACACAAAATCCAATATAATCCTTTATTTCACTTAAAGGAATTCTCGTTATTTAAGGGGCAATATGGAAAGAGCGGTTATAAGTTGTTCACAACTACCACGAATCCGAAGGGATTTATTTCACTTAAATCCTTTCACTTATTTCTCATCGCACTTTCATAAGAATACGACTCTCATTTGCTTCTCTCTTTGATTTGGAGTTAAAACAGTTTGACATAAACACGGTTTACCTTCATCTAATTGACCTTGAGGAAGAGATACACATGAAACTTGATGATTTTGTGATGATATCTTTTTGTCACTTGCAACTTGTATGGCCTCACGCAAAACCCTAAGAACAACTACAAATAACAAAAGAAGAGAAAGCAATGACACACTGAAAATCCATAAACCTTTTATTCAACACTGCAAACCTTCAATGATCACCTCACCAGGCCATTAACAGCTACTAACACACACTTAAATAGAACACGTGGCACCCAACAATATCAGCCAATACTTAATTAAATAAAGAACCCAACTTAACATAACAAAGGCAAAACAATGTTGCCTAACTTAAAACAAACTGAATCCCATAGTAGGGAGAATCTTGACAACAATTAATCTCAAAGGTAAATTGAAGTACAATACTCAACAACACAAGCCCAATTTTAGGTATTGCTCAAAGTTATAGTTCTCAGATCATAAACTGCACCAGCGAAGAGGTCGTCCCATCCAAGCCCTTTTGGTAGGATTTGACTGTGAAATCTGGAATCGAGGTTTCCTTGTATTTCGGAGGATTCTCTGCCGATAATAACTCTTTTATAGGTCCATACATTCTCGCGTTTGGCGAGAATCCAGTGCTGAAGAACGACGCTACGGACACTCTTGGTCCAATCGTTTTCGCCTGGACTCTATGCTCCACGCTTATAAACTTGTCGTTTGATATCAGCTTTAACGTCACCAAAAAAAAAACCATTTAATTAATTCCCTCATTAATCATGAACTAAACTTGAACTTATCAAAACCTATTTGATTAGATGAAAGACATACCTGAAGCAAGTCTCCAACATTGACAACGAGACTCCCTGGCAACGGAGGCACGTCGACCCAGTGATCCTGATGAAGAACCTGAAGGCCTCCGATGTGATCCTGCAGCAGAACTGTGATGAAGTCGAAGTCGGTGTGCTTGCTTGCTCCCACGGTGAGCTCTGGTTGAGGACAAGGTGGATGGTAATTGCACGCCATGTAGAGTCCCTTTGCACAATCCATCTCTTTCAAGTAATTGGAGGGTAGACCGAGAGCTTCCGATAGAAGTTCAAAGAGCAGATCGGTCAGTTTGAGCAATTCCTGAGTGTACTCTATCACGATTTCACTGCATGATGAGAATTTGTAAATCGATCAGCTGAACAATAAATAAAAAAATGATATATGTATATTGGTTTCACGCCATGCGAACTCATACGAGCTTAAAGTTTGCATAGATACAGATATCTGTGTTCAACAAATGAGAGGCGTGTCCAGATCTTAACATGTAAAATAATATTTTTGGTCACGACAAAATACTATGATATTACGTGAAGAGAACACGTTGGTGTCACATTATATAACTCGAGTTGTCGGGAGATGTTCAGTTACGTATATTATACATTTATACTAACACGCCCTCTTACACACAAAAGCTAACGCATACGGAGAGTTGGAATTTGAACATAACGCCTCTAAATGACAGAAGGCTATCAGCTGATATGTCATATAAAAACACAACTGGTCTGAAAAATAACTCGACTTGTTAGTAGAAGAAGAAGAAACGTAGAGAGGTTCCGTTATTATTGATCTTGTACCGTTTACTAAAACGATTTTGTTATTACCTGCAGCACGCCGGCAGTTCTTCAGGCTTAGGAACGTCAGGAGCGGTGTGAAACAAGACGGCGTCCCTCCAGTTGGTAACCGGCGCGCTGTACAAGTCGAAGTTGCTGTTGTAGACGACCCTCTTACTCGGATCGCGGCCGAAGAACTCCTTCTTCGCCTCCAAATCCTGCTCGTGAAACCTTCGGACGCCGGCTTTCATCTCCTCCATCACGCGCTCGGGGATCGCGTGGTTCACCACCTCGAAGAACCCCCACTTCTCCGCCGCCTCCCTGACCTTCTCCACGATCACCTTCCGATGGTCCGCCGCAGCGCCTTTCAGGTCGATGACGGGGAAAATGAAGTCGGGGTCGGAGGGTGAGAACGACGCCGTTTTGGTGGTGGTGTCGAGGAAGTGTGGCGGCGCGTGGAAGATGCGGGGGAGCTCGGTGATGCCGGCGTCCGCCAGGCCTTTGACGCCGGCTTTTGTTTCGTCGAATGCTGTCAGCTCGGCGAGCCGGTCGTAGGTTGTGGAAGCCATTGATTTTTTTCTTATGTTTTTTTTTTTTTTTTTTTGGGTTCGGGGATGTTGATGATTGAGGTTGGGAGATGTAGAGAAAGTGAGCTACGAGTGGATTTATAGTGACGAGGTAAAGTCGTCGGATATACTATAAGTAATGGTGACGACTATAACATTCCCGTCGACGTCGCCGGCAGGATATAGCCGGTCAATGTCTACTTCCGTCGGTATGTAGGTGTCTTGGTGTGTGAGCTAGCAAATTAGTGACAAGTTGTCCTACTAAGATTGATGCTAAACGTGCTTAGATCCTTAATTGCGGGGTGTTGTTGGATTTAATTGGTTAATCTTAGATATCCTGCTGATTGGTCCTTCGAGTATTTCAATATCTTCGAGTTTGTTAATTTAAGGAAGGTTTAGTGCAATAACATATATTTCAAATTTCTCAAAACAAAATAAGGAATATAATCCTTAATTTGTAATAAGATCTAGGAAAATTTATGGTTAAAAAGGTCGAATTTCAAATTGCAGGAAGTATATTTAATGTAAATCAATTTTTTTTTTTTTTGCTCCTAATTCAATAACTTATTCACAAAGTCAAACTAAGCAAGAGGGGATTATGGGAAAACCAAAAAAAAATGGGAAACTCGATTTTTTAAACGCTATGTTTTGTCTTTGGGAAGACGAAAGATGTGAGTTTCTCATTTCTCTATTCGTTATTCCCATAGTAAATGAATACTCTATTACATTGATCACCCATATTAATGAATTATGTACGTTTCTCATGTTGATTCGCGAGCCACAAAATTCTCGTTAAAACACTTTAGGAAAGTTGTTACTAAAAGACTTAAAAGAGATCAATTTTGGGGAAATACTAGAGGTGTGATGTCGAATGTAGGATTAATGGATTATGATACAAGGTAAAGTCTCATATATATACTACGTAATGGTAACAACTAACAATCCCGTCGATGTCGCCGGCCGGATAATATAGCCGATCAATGTCCACTTCCGTCGGTATATAGGTGTCACATTTTGGCTGTCGGGCATGATTTGTCAGTAACGAACGACTTATCCAGTACGTTGGCCGTCGCCGGTCGGGCAATCATGGCTCAAGTGGTTGATCTAGAGACGACAAGCATTCAATTTACGTTTGAGGTTCCCATCTCTTCGGTGATCACAATGATGCCCTAATCACTTTCTTTCTGTCGTTTTTGTGGTGTCAAACGAGATTTGAAAGTGACTTATGTTCAAGTTGGTGTGTCCCAAAATCCCATATGCAAGAAAGACACAAGTCTTCTAGGTACCCGATCGATCGACGAGCCACCCACACAATTGATTGCCCCAAAGTGTAGGTGTGTGTGTCAACCTAGGGTTTAACATGATCTCACATGTCTTAAGCTAGGGCTGGTAATCGGTTTTCCGGTTATCGGTATAACCGGTAACCGAACCGGTAACCGGCGGTTACCGGTTATACCGATAACCGGAAAACCCGGTAGTCGAATGGGTAAAGTGTGGCACCGGTATACCGCCTACCCACACGGTAAATACCGTCGGTAGGACGGTTAACCGGATACCGTGCGAAACTCACAAAACGCAGCGCTTAGGGAGGGACGGAGGGTGAACAAAAAAAACCCTAAAGACTCGTCCTAAACCTTCTGACCTTCACCTTCTCCATCGTCTTCGTCTCTCACTCACACAGCCCAGCCGCCGACCCGAGATTCCTGGAGAGGAGACTTAAGCATCGGCCACCATCGCCGCAAAGCCGCCCCGCGACGCCGCTCCGCCGCCCCGCTCCGCCGCCTTCCATCCTTCCCTCTCCTGTTCTCCTCCCTCTCCGACTCTGCAGACGGCCGACGCTCTGCCCTCCCGCCAGGACGACTTCCTCTTCCCCAGTCGCCGCCGCTCTGTAAGTCTCCTTCTCCTTCTCTTGCCTTCATCATTCTTCTTCCCCCAGTCCCTACCCCTCCTGTTTGAGAAGGACTGTTTGTTAAGTTGAGGCCTTGGTGTTGGTGTCGAACAGAGGCCAGAGGCAGAGGGTAGAGGCAGAGGCGCAGAGGCAGAGCTACCGAGCTCCTGGAGGCTAAACAGAGGCAGCCACCAACCCGCAGGCCACAGCACTGCAGAACAAGCAGCAGCCAGCCAGCAGATTGATTGATTGAATCATTCGAAAAAAATGTATGTGAAATTGTAAATGAATGTGTTGTTTGGAAATTGGAGCTTTGAGTATTGAATTCATTTTGCTTGCTAAACTTGTATGTGAAATTGTATGTGAAATTGTAAATGAATGTGCTTGCTAAACTTGTTGTATGATCCAGAAGTTAGTAATGAGATTATGTGATTGCTAAGTTCTTGGCTTATCAAATTAGTTAAATAGACTGTTAGTCACTTAGTCCAATGGGAAGTTAGTAATGAGATTATGTTACCATTTGTGATTTGTGTTGGTCTAATGGGAAGTTAATGAGATTATCTGATTATGTTACCACCATTTCTTGTACTTTTGTAGGACGAAAAAATCAAAGAAGGCTGGTTCGCTACCTCCTCGTCCAGGAAGCTCTTCTAAGAAAGGGAAGGCTTCAACTAGTGCACCTTCCACTGCACCAAATCCACCTCCTCCATCTGCACCAAATCCACCTCCATCTGAAGCAAATCCGGCTACTACTACAACTACTGGTGTTGCTAGTGAGGTACCTGGTGTGCAAAAGAAAATTGACAAGGGTAAGAGGAAGAAGACGTCTAAGTGGTGGATCCCTTATGATGAGGTGCTAGTGGATGACTATCCATTTGGAAAATGCATACGGTGTGGGACGCTGATCAAAGCTCATTCTACCAACAATGGCACTTCTGGTTTGAAAAACCATCATCTGATGTGCGAGAGGAGGTCGAAGGAATCTAGTGGGCAGTCGGTATTAAACTATCAAGCTAGTGGGACTGGTGAGGTAGGCTCTCTTACTTCGTGGAAGTTTGATCAGAACAAAGCTAGACATGCATTAGCTATCATGATAATCTTGGATGAGCTTCCGTTTCGATTTGTTGAACGGGAAGGATTTAGGAGATTTATGGCAGTATCACAGCCTTTGTTTGTGATACCTGGAAGGCAAACAATTAGATCTGATTGTTATGTCATTTTTCCGGAGAAGAAAGAGCTGTTGATTGAGTTTTTTAACTCAAAGTGCAAAGGAAAGATTTCTATCACTACAGATACATGGACTAGTGATAATAACCAGAATTATATGTGTGTGACTGCACATTTTATTGGAGCTGATTGGAAACTGCAGAAGAGGATTATTTGTTTTGTTCCCATTACCAGTCATACAGGGAGAGATATTGCAGATACTTTGGCAGCATGTCTACAAGAATGGAAAGTGAAGAATCTGTTTTGCATGACAATGGATAATGCCACTTCCAATGATGTGCTTGTTGACTGTATGAGAACAAAACTGAAAGAGTGGGGATCGGATTTGCTAGATGGGAAGTACCTGCAGTATAGATGTGTGGCACATATAATCAATCTAGTCGTCTCTGATGGTTTGAAAGAGGTTGGAGTTGCTGTGGAGAGGGTAAGGGATTGTGTGAAATGGGTGAAGTCATCACCAGCTCGGAGTGCAAAGTTCAAGTCTAGCATCGACTACCTAGAGATGGATGGTAGAAGACTTGTGTCTTTGGATGTTCCGACTAGGTGGAATTCCACCTATCTGATGTTGGAGTCTGCAGAGAGGTTTGAGAAGGTGTTTTCTCTTATGTATGATAGTCCTACTGATGCTTCATTTCGAGACTATGTGGACTCCAAGAAGGGTCTTCCATCTAGAGAAGATTGGAGCAGCATTAGGCGTCTCATGAAATACCTGAAGTTTTTCTATGATCTCACTCTTCGTGTATCAGGTATGTGAATGAACTATCAAATTTTAAAACTCATTTCTTAAAGTTAAAGTTTATGATTTCTCACTTACATTTTTTCTTTGTATCAGGTACATCATATGTCACTGCACATACTTTCTGCAGAGCCATTGTTGATATTCATGAAGTGATTGCTACTTTGAAGAAGGATGCAGATGAACAGATACAAAGAATGGCAGAAAGAATAGAGGCAAAGGTGAGAAAGTATTGGTTTGAGAATGATGTTGATGATGAGGAGGATAACCTTAGAATAAATAGGATAGTTTACATGGCCTGTGTGCTTGATCCAAGGCGTAAACTATACTATTTGACTATGATGTTGGAAGAGATGTATGGAAAGTCAAAAGGGGAAGATTTGGCAGATCAGGTGAAGAAAGAGATGGTACTATTGTTCGAGGTCTACAAGGTGAAGTATGAATCTTCACATTCTGAAGCTACTACTCAGACTACTCCAGATATTGTGACTAGTGGCGAGTCTTCTGTTATGGGAGGTGCATTTGAAGCTCGGTTCCAGCAGAAGAGAAAGGAGCAACTTGAGAGGGGGGGTAGAGTATCTGGTGAGTTGGAGTCATATTTGAGAGATGTTGGTGATGCTGTTAACGAGGAGCTTGATGATCGGAAGTTTGATATTCAGAAGTGGTGGTCTCGGAACAGTGTTAGATATCCCATTCTTGCAGAGATGGTTAGGGATATATTAGCAGTTCCAGTATCCTCTGTTGTCTCGGAGTCCGCTTTCAGTTGTGGAGGTCGAGTTCTTAGTCCTTTCAGATCATCTTTGAGCCCAAACATTGTAGAGGCCTTGATTTGTGCTGAAGATTGGATAAGGTATGAAAGTGGAAAGACTGTAGATGAACTGAATGATAAGGAAGAAGATCAGGAGACAATCGACTTTGTCTTTGAGAATGGTAAGAATTCAATTCATTCTTCTTAAGAGTATTATTGTATATACTCTTTACTAAAATTAAGCCATTCCATATTTAAATCATTAATATTTGTGTTTTTTGTTTGCACTAGTGGCTAATACTTTCCAAGCTCGAGTGGAAACTGCTACTGAAGTTAGAGCACATAGCTTACCTGATGGGGGTGTTGAGGAGGACAAGGAGGAGGAGGGAGATGACGAGGAGACT